CCCAACCATTTAGGCGGTTATGCTTTTTTTTTTTTTTAAAGAAACAACATAAACAAAAATCTGGAAATGCTTGATTTCATTGTGCAAATGTCTTCAAGAAACAAATGAAGTGCAAATATTTGTTTGGCTGAACCTTTGAAAATGGGATCTCTAGTCTTTAGTTACAGTTACGGTTTATCCCGAACAGCTGTCCAACGCATTGGTTATTTAAACATGGTGGAAAAACTTTAAGAAAAATTTGATTTTTTTTAGAACTTCCATGCACGAGTGGCGAGTGGAACGTCACAAGCTTTGCAGTAGTTCTAGAATTCTTATTTACCTTTCCTTGAAGAGCTTCTTGAATGTTCATTTGCATTTGACAAGCTTTGTTATGTCTGCGTACATGACAAAAAGAAATTGTTGATAAAACTATTACGCAGACAAAATGAAATTTTTGATAAAACTATTTTCTTTCATCAGTTTCATTTCTTTTTTAGTTGATCATAGTACCATAAATTGTCTGCCTCATTGGCAATCAGCTAATGTGCCAGCAGAATTAACATTGGCTATATTTAGCTTCAAGCTGTTCCTAGATGTATCTACTAGTTTACATTCTGAAATTGCATCCTTCTAAAATCAGGTTGACAGGTTCATAGAAGTTTGTGCTTTATATGGTGAAAAATATCTTATTACAAAGTTTGTGCTATCATGTATTCATGTGTAAATGCGTTGACTGTGAAGGATCGAGTTAAAGGTGTTGCGTGGATTTAACAGATATGTAACACTTTTTTCAAAGTTTTATGATTGCTGAAGATATGGCATTGGACGTGTTTTTTGTACCTTCTCTATTTTTTGTGTTTATGCCATTTTGCTCATACTACGTTGGAGATGCAACAGGTGGGTTAGGAATATTTTTCCTTTCACTTCAGCTCTAACCAATTTAGCTTCTTCTTTTGGCCTATTTTTATCTATCGGCTTACATATGCTTTAGAGCAAATTCTCTTCTCAAACTATATGCTTATATCCATTAGAACTGGATCACCAAGACTCATTAACAATATAGATATTAGGAACGATAAGAATTAGGTTTCTGATAAACTTCCCCTTTTCTATTAATTGTGGAGAATTGGGGTTGGAAGAACTCAAAGGGTAAAACATTGGCGGAAACATGTACTATATGTGATTTTGGACTTCGCAACTTATAGTATTTTTCTTGGTAAAATGCAACCTGAACTTCATGAACATTAATTTGCAACCTCTCGTATATCTTGACCATACAGTCATCCGCAAAAATGGACACGTGTGTGGTCTAGGAGAGGTTACAAGTTATGACTGTTTATTAAACTGAGGTTGCAAAGTCCAAAAACACATGTAGTACAGGTTGAAAAAAAATGTTTTACCCACTCTCAAATTCTGGGTTAGAGATGTACAATTTGGGAATGATCAGTTGGAAAGGAACTTATCGATGAAAGCGTTTCCAAACAATTTTATTTCTTAGGGAATAATGAATATTGAAATCCTATATTCTGCTAGGCTGATTGATATGGTCCGAGATGATTGTCTCCGGTCTTCCGACAGTTCTTCTCCGGTTCGAATGTGGATCTACCGATTCGGTGTGGTCCAATGCCGTAAGCGCACCAGTACCTGCAAAAGTACCTGCAAAAGCGCTGGAATTGCTCCGGCGCAACACACTCCAACGCCCAAGTCAATATCCCGGTTTAGAAGAGTAATAATGTCTAATAAATGTAACAGTGATTGTATTAAATGTGTCTTACCCATTTCTCTTGATACTACTCTTTATATAGTGTTTACTTCCGTGATAATAGGTTTGCGGTTATCCGTTGACTAGACTTAGGTCAATGCTTTTATCTTGCTTATGAGGATCGACTTTGTCGACCCGCTGTGGTCTACGGGTGGATACCTTGCTTTGGTCGACCTTCAATTTGATATAGCCGTGTGTGTCAGCGGGTGGGTCGATACCCTTGTGTGGTTCGACTCTCTACCCTCGGTCGATGCTCCGGTCTTCTCGGCTCAGTTTTATAGGTCTATTCTTGTTCGGCCCAGGTCGGTACTATAATCATATCAACTACTCTCCCCTATTTTCAAATATGCGAGACGAAGCTCGGATATTCATAAATACAAACATTCGGGTGGTGATATATATATATATATATATATATATATATATGGCTCATATTCACCCAACCTATTACTAGGCTTTTTTTTTCTCTTATAAATAACCTCCCCTCTTCTTCTACCAAAAAAATTTCCTCTTCTTCTCCTCTCACGCTCTTCTACCACAAGAACTCCTCTACTCTATCTTCCTTAAGTTTCCTTCACCTGGTGGCCACGTAGGTTCGTCCGGCACAACTTCCGTTCAATTCTCTCGGTTCTTGGAAGCTCTCTTAGTCGCCGGCCCGATCGGAATTCTAG